GGTCGAACGCTAACGCCCACGCGCTCGCCTGATCGCCATTCATACGTTCCGTTGGTGGGGTTGCGGCCAGTCAAGTTCAACACATGACATGCGAACATCAAGTACTTTTTATGGGCTGACGGTGGAGGTGGTAGATGGTGCCGATATGGATACACGGATGAACTTGGTTATATTTTATACGTGTGCGCAAGTTCGATTCGCGTTTGGGCATTAAGCGTTAAACTTTCGTCATCATCGTTGTTTCTGCCGCCACCACCACCAGCACCACCACTGACGGTTCCTACGTTCGCGCGTTTGTTATCTTCAGTCAGTCGGTTGGTCGCGGTTCACACGTTTGGTCCAGGTCCTTCCACCCTCTAACTTTCAATTTCTGTCGTCAGGAGTCGATGTGCGCGAGTTCAATTGTACAACGAAGAAGTATTAATTATACATGACTGTCATTTATTGACTTTTACTGTGAAAATTGTTTGGGAATATTAGCTGTATAGTTTGGCACGCCTTTGTGATAAAGTTGTTGGAAAGTGTTGAGGGGTGTCGAATTTAACAGTGATTAATGGGGTTTTAAGTTGAAGTTTTGATGAAATGAGAAAATTGAACATTTTCACCTAGATAAATATTAGATTTATAATTATAATTACAATGTGATTCAGCTGTGATAGTGTCGGAGTGAAAAGCATGAATTTGCTGAAAATTGTAAGTAGTTGCTTAATATAAAATAGCTACAAATAAATATTATTTGTTAGATTTTGATTACTGCCGTGTTAATTAGTTGCACTTTTATTTTTATTTATGTTAGGAGAGTTGAAGATGCCAAACGATACAACTGTTTCACCAGCTAAAATACCTACATCTTATTACGACATGACGTAGAAATTCTCGACTACCATGACGTATTTTTTTAAATTTATTTACATAAGTGTTGATTTGCATCTTTGGTTTTAATATTTGTATCAAGTTGAAAGATAAAACAATTTTTTTTATCTGCGTAATCAGTACTGCCTCAACTTTAAATATTTTTAGCGTGTTGTGATACAATTTATTTAGGCACTAGGTACCCACATTGTGTACTCGTATATTAACTCAGTCCATGCTGAACATGTGTTTTTTGGCGCCTATTCGATTAATGTCAAAAATAGAAATTATTTTTGACCAAATACTAATAATAATAACAGTTATCTAGTGGCATGGCTGCAGTGTAGGAGCGCGTATTAGTTTTACAACCATTCAAATGATGCGTTTTTGCCAGAACAATATTACCATAAGAATGCCATTGCCATATAGGTAACTAAATAATCAAAATATTAAATGCAGCTCTACACACAATACTAATTAATATGTAGAGGTTACTGAAACTTCCGTCTTATGCATCTATGAGTTCTGCGAAATTGATGCATCCGATTGGCGTGAAGCGCTCCACGCGTTTGAACCCGGTGGTGGCACATTTCGAATATAGGGCAATGTACCAGATCGATATAAGCCGAACGCACAACCCCGACCGCTGCAGCGTTCGTGCCTCGACGGTCGCCGGCACGTGCATGTACTATCGTCTTGCTTATTTGCGCATATACGAAGCTCCCTGATAAACGCCGGCAATTAATTGCGAAACTTTGATTAATTATTTTTGTAAAATCAGCAATTCCAGATATAGGTATTTGTTAAGTGAATTATTAACTATGCACAATAATCGTCAATTTAAAATATACTTGGACTCTTCTTACAATGGTGTCATACTCCTCGTAATTTACTGGGGCCCTTTAATCATTATTTTCAATTCGGTTGACATTGTTGAGTCCATTCGGAGTTTCCTAATTTTATGTGTTCGATGACTGGAAGGATGAGACAGACGTTCCGTTTGCCACTTAATTTTGGCACACTTGCCTTTCCAAACTTAGTGTTTTAACAAATCTTTATGCTTATATGAAATATACCTACATATGCAATCTTTTTAAAAACGGCGGCATACTGCGTTCACGTATGGGATTCCTAAGAGGAATTTCCGAGATATTGACATTTTTAGCCTCAACAAAGAAAAACTAAATTTTAAATTTGGTGTATCGATGCGTCAGTATCATATACCTACCTACCTACCTTGCTGGTGCAATTTAATTAAATTTTTTTAACGATGAATACGCTTGTTTTTGGGTGAAGTCATAAAAAGCAGCGTTGGAAAATATACTGTATTAAAGTGCAATTAATTTTCCATTATAGATACATAGTGACTTTTAATGATTTAAATCTTTTGAAAATTTAAGGCGATTTGTGCACTGAGCTAGTCTTGATATGAATACGTTTGCTTCTAGGCACTATGATAATGACGGGCGCATGGAAGGGGTACAAAACATTCATTAAAATAAAATTTTAGTTAATAGTTGCAAGCTCCTACAATATTTCAAAAATAAAATAAATAATTATATACAACCCGCTAACAGAGACTTTAAAATAAAACAGGCCCTGTGCTGTTCTATTTTATCAAAAACAAAAGAAATTGACCATGCTTATAATGTGGGAGAACCGTATTTGTATTCGGTAGATCAGAGGTGGGCAAAAGTCGGCCCTTTCAGTAGTTTTATCCGGGTCGCAGGAAAATATTTTTTCTTTTCAGTTTAATTCAATAATTAATGTACTGATTGCTCCAATCAAAGTTGATACAATAAGTGTGATATCTACTCAGTTTAAGATTTATATAAGAAATGTCCTGACCATCCAGTATGTGCATTAGGTGCGCCTTTGAATGAATGGATTCCTTGTTTGCGCACCTTACTTAAATATCAGATCGTATCGGAATCAAGAGGGTAGAGGTTTAGAACAGTTAAAAGTTATCGAAAATGAATTTTGAGAGCGATAGCTGGTTAGATGGACTGTGATCATATTTTGCATATCCGTACTTTTCATTGTAACTATTATAACATTGTTTAATATTTCAAAAATAGTGCATACGGCCTGCAGATACTCCCGAAAAAATAATTTGCTCCGCGTTTAAAACTATTTCCCCACCCCTGCCCTACATGATGCATTGATTTTTCATTATGAAGAATGTACCTACTTATTGTGAAGGAGGCAGTTTTGAATATGATTATTGCCAAGAAGATTACCACCAAAAGTAATAAAAATTATTAGGGCTTCACACGAGACGAGAGTAGACGAGAGTATCGAAAATCTCGTCTCGGTCTCATATCAATTTCCAAAAAATTAAGTCTTCGTCTTGTCTTGTTACTAGTTTTCATGTCTCATCTCGCTTAATTCTAAATATTAATATAAACTACATAACAAATATTGATAAATAATTTTTTGAAGTTATATCTATTGTGCTCTTATACAAAAATATTTTTCATTTTACATTGCATACAATGTCAAAAAATCATATTCGGTTTGTCGTGTTTTTTTTGAATTTACAATAAAATATTTCCTAGATTATCACCAGATTTTATATATTGTAAAAGAATTTTTTTTGTAGAACTTTTCCTATTTTTTTAATAAAAACTTATTAAAATAATTAAACGAGACTCTTAGGTGCCAGTGGTCTCGGTATCGTCCATAACATTTTCTCGCTTTTCTGAGACGAGGACGTGACGAGAGAAATCTCGCTGCCCTAAAAATAATATATTCGTATGTCCATTCGAAGTTTTCTGATTTTATATTATTTTATATTTAAAAGACTATCTTTTATTATATAAAGTAGCCAAAAAATGAGCACGTTTGCCAGGATGCACATTTACTTTTTCTTTTTAAAGTTTCACATTTTTATGTCAAATTTTCCATTACTTTGAATGCTTAAATACGCACAGGTGCCCCGAACGAACCTTATATGCCTATAATTTTCATTATTTATTGTGTAAAATGTTAAAATTTCTTGGAAATTGGTGTGTCACTGGTTTTGCTTATTTATTTATAAATACAAGTCTCGTGTTGATGGGCCATTAGAAAATGAATGCAGCACTTGCCACGCGATTCACCTGCACTTTTGTTTATCAACGCGGATCAAAAACTTAAAATACGTATGTTACTTGTTATAAATAGCAACAAATTTGCATGCAAAGTAATTGTGTTTTTTTTTGTTACTTCCGTTTGCGATTCTGTGGCCATATTTATTTTCATATTGATTCAGCGTGTTGGCGCTCTGTTCGTGCTAAATATGTAATGCCGTTAAATCTCTACCAGGATCGCGCGCACGAATCGCAACAGAATTAAAACGCGCCCCGAAATTAGCTAACAGAAAAGCGTGCGTGAATCCCAAGCTAAACAGAGATGACAATACACGCTAAAGGGTAAATCAAATGTCACGATTTACGTCACTTGTTAGTATACAAGTTGGTCTCGTCGGGAAAAAATATTAGTCTCTAAAGATATTTACAATTTTTATTCAGCTTTACACATTTGGTTTATTTATTATACTAATTCTAATATTTTCTTTAATTTTTTTTGTTCATCAATTCATCTAAACTTATTCTTAAGTTTTTCTAGCTACGATTCGATAAACTTTTTATTGAATTTCCATCAAGACACTCCCACTTTCATTCGCCCTTGTTTCTTATTCCACGATTAATGAAATGAAAGACTCGCCTTGAGTTTGGTTGGCGTGAGCTCAATTAATTTTCTCGCACAGCCGAAGTAAAACAATAAACAAATGACGTAGGTGGATAAGGAAAATTAACCAAATCAAAGGAGTTCACTCACAATGGACTCTAACACGAGAAAGGCTTAATAGGAAATACTAGGTGGAATAAAAAATGATAAGATAGTCTGATGGAAATTTGCGGGTTTTGTGGCCTTGTCTCTTGCCTATAGGTAATTGATTGCCGCAACATTGAACGATCATGAACGATAAAATGTACGAAATTAGATTTTCACAATCAGGTTTCGCGTGATTACTTGACCGTGAACGATAAAATTATCATAGTGTTGGCGTAGTGTTGGATAGGGCTGTAAATCAAATGTCTTTGAAATGTCACCTGTTAATAGCTATAAATGATTATTATATGAAACTACTTTCTTTTTTCCAGATTCTAATTCATTATTAAATTTTATAATAACATTAATTACAAAACTTTGGGGTCCTGGAATTTAATGGAACGACGTCATTTTGATAGCGCAGAGGGAGTTGGCAGGGAGTCATTGCAGTGTTAATCATCCAAAGGAAGATGCAAGAACGCGCCGTCAGCACGCAGACGAACACCTGCATCAACACTAGTATGGAATCCGCTGATAGCGTCGACATTGATGATTCTTCCGATTTACAACAAGAACAATCTTCAAGAAGTCGTAATTCTGTAAATATATTTTTGAAATTTTGATTGTTAAATAATATAAACTTATTATGTTTTATTAATTTCATAGAATAACAAATTGAAAGTTCTCGTTCGAAGTCACGCAATGCGTGAAGCATCACCATCGCCACCGCGCGACCCCCAATCTCCCAACGCTACCACTGCCCACTATCACCACCACAACCACTACCAACCAATTCAGACGCAACATCAACAATCATCGTCTCAACAAATGCACCAGCCGAATACGCCGGTCTCGTCGCCTTGCATTAAACTGACGCCGTCGTCAGACAGTCATCCATCTTCTCCAACGCGAACACTTCATGTGCTGAGTCCTAGTTCGTCTCCAACAAGCACTCTGGTCGCATCTCCGTCTCCTACACGTCTCGTTGACCAATCCGAATTTACCCTGCAAGAAGCAACTTATACTACAGCAGATGTAGGTCACCGCTGTACGAAAACCAACAAGCACTCGCGAAAAAAGAACCACTATGAGCGAGACGATGAACATCGAAGTAACGGTGCTATTGGCGGAAATGTTGGGATGAAATGCGAATGCCAGTCAAATCTCACTTTGAATAATAACAATTTACATAATAATAACAATAACAACACCCTGACAGTTAATAATCGATTCGGAAATTCTGGAAATGGACGGGGTAAATTGCGACAGCAGAGTTCTTCATTGGGCAGTTTTGATGGTAGTTCACCTAGTCTCTCCAGAGGTAGCTAAGGTTTATTATAATTATTTTATGTGGTATTTACAATTATTTGTTTTGCCATAGATAACAGCAGTGAGCAGTACACTGACACAACTGGAGCCGATCTGGAAATTTTCATTCCTGAAACTTTGAATCGCAATCAAAAGGATCGAAATCTTATGCTACGTATTGAAGAAGAACTTGTCCAACTAGCCAAAGATGATGGGTATAAATAATTATTTTGCTTCAATTGTTTAAATTATTGTTGTATATAATTGCTAATTTGACTGCTAAAATTTTTGCTTTTTATTGTGTACTTTTAGTCAAACACATTTCAAATTTCCCCCAATGTCGAGTTACCAGCGTATGCTGGTGCACCGTTGCGCGGCGTACTTTGGCATGGAACACAATATAGAGTCGACTGGCAAATGCGTTGTAGTGAACAAGACGAAAAATACACGCATACCCGACGTGGAGTTCAAGTTTCACATCAAGGAGGAGTATAACGAGGAACCACGACGCTCGATCCTTAAACGCGATAGTAACAGCATCGAAGACTACAACTTTAAGAGTCCCGATCGTCAATACAGCCTGGAGAGTCGAAGGAGTAAAAGCTTCGAAGAGCGAGAGGAGGAATACGAGAAAGCTAAACGTAGAATATTTAATAAAGGGGTTAGTTAGTGTTAACATTGCAAGAAATATAAAACAATGTGCGATTAATTTTTAGAATCACGATTGTAGTGCCGACGATATTGTTTGGGCTGAAGAAATTGCATGGTCTAACAACGATCACGAATCCAAATATCGGCTACATAATGATTGTCATCATCCCAGATCATCGAGATTGCTCAAAGTGCAGAGTGAGGATCCAGGCGAAGAAACTATGAGGCCCTGCGTAGCCAAATCGTACAGTTTTGGTGGTTACGGCGGCTCTTTAGCTCGAGGTGATTCGATGATGTCAACACACAGTGCAGGACCGCGATTACTCTCGAAACAAGGTATGTTTAATGCGTGCAATTGATATGTTGCGATTTGCAATGGTTTGGTTTGGTGTTAGATTCTTCGGCCAGCAGTGTCTCGTGGCACTTAAGTCCATCGAGTTCCGGGTACAAAACCCAGTCTCAGCGCTCCGAGTCTATCACGCCGTCGCCTACATCGACGCCGTTTTATTCCTCGAATGACTCATCGTCGATCCGTCAGGACTCTACAGCAACGAACGCCAGCGACATTCCATTACAGAACGACGACGATAATCAGCAAGTCGTCTGGGCAGTGACGAATATTCAAAGTGTTCCGAAAGGCAGCGTCATCATCAATCCGCAAACTGGTCAACCCATTAAAAATCATGATGGTACTTTGTACCACCACGATCCGAATAATCCATTGCCGGAACTGCCACCGCTGCCCGACGCTACAATAACGAATAATGGCAATACCACAGCCCATGTGAGTGCTAAGCCACCAATGTCTCCAGTGAAAAGTAAAAAAGATCGCCCGCCCTCACCAAAGAAGCGAAATTCGCCAATTAAAAAGACGAATAGTGCCACTAGTCCTAGTTTACCGTACACGCCACCTCCACATCCATTATCTTTGCCTACTATACCCCAAATGCCGGTCGCCACGCAGTTAATACAAAGCAAAAATTTTCCGGGCTATGCTGAGCATAATCCTGCACCGCTAATGCAAAATCAGTATTACGGGGGGACTTATGATTACGCCCCGCCTTGCATCGTGTACGCACCGTACGGGCAGGTTCCCGTCGGTTATGACACTCGAATTGTAAGTATATGCATATAAATATAAATGGGATAAAAATTATTCCTGTTTGATAGGATACAACACCGTTGCAAGAACTTACTCATCCGTATTACGTCGATCCAACTACCTATCAATCGGCACCTGCTGCAGCAGCTGGTGTTTGGTCGCAAACACAGTACGTCTATCCCAACGCTGCTCCTCGGTTTGCTGTGCAACCGATGCAGCAACCAGGAACCACAACTTTTATTGCGTCGTATCATGCCGGTCAAACGACGAGCGGGTTTGTTCCACAACAAGCGCAACCAACATCGGGGGCCAGTTCTGAAATGATACCAGTCTATTCTCCGCAGTCACTGATTTATCCCACTGCACAGACTTCAGTCTTTCCCAATCAGAACATGATATACGCTGCCGCTCCACCACCATCTGGTGGTACATTTGCCAATACTGTGTTTACGGCGCCTCCGCCATCCACTGCAGTTGCGCAACATAATATGACATATCCCGTCAACGTACTCACTCCAGAAGTACTTTATCCTATGGAACAGATGGTGCAAGGTGTTGCGCAGTTGCATCTTAGCGCCGCTAAAGATGAGCGTCGAATGACGCCCAAAGGAAAGGGAAGGAGTCAAAGTAGCACGGAAGCAAGTTCCCCAGCCACTGCTGTTATGACTTTTCCGGGAGCACTTTATCACCGACAGAATTCTGAGACGCCGCCCAGCTTGCCACCTACACCTGGCTATGGAGGTTCATTTCCGCCCGTGTTTTTAAGACAAGTTAGCATGTCAAATTATTTAATTCCATTCAATTTTCATTCATTTCGATGAATTGTATGTGCAGATGAGTAACGTGAGAGCAAGTCCTCCGGTGCAAAGCAGGGCGAGTCGATCCCCTACGCCTGTTACGCCAACAATGCCGCTGCCTCCCATGGCACTGCCAGGGCCAGATATGATAATGGGTGATTCGCGGCACAGGTATTCGATGCCACCTGTTGTATATCAAACAATGCCTTATTCAATTCCAAGTAAGTTTTTTTTGTGAACTTGCGTACATGGCTATCTATCACGATATGTGCATGGAAAATGCTAAACATTGCCCCCGATAAGTTTGGTTATATTTGTTCATAGCCTATTTTTTCTCCTATTCCAAATTCCAAAAAATATAGGATATTCTTGATGATAGGTGACAGTAGAATAATAGCGGGTCGGGGTCAGCCAAACTCCTTCAGGCAGCAGTCGCCTCGCCCGCCACCCAATCTCTCCCACCCGCCACACCGTCAGCAAGTTCAGTCGCAAAACCACCAGGCGGCTGTAAATAACAGCAACTCGAATAGCAATAGTCACGTCTGTGGCGTACCGCAATACAATCAGCACGCGCCTCCAGCGAATGACAAATTCAAAAACAGAAAAAATCGGTAAGTTATTACCTTGATTTAATCTTGCCATTCAAATGAAACACATTATTTTCATAAATATGAATTTATTGCAGTTTATAACCATCTAAACTATTATACATTATGTGTATCTTATGGGATTCTAGGAGCAACAAAGCGACGAATCTGCAATACACCAACAAGAAATCTACTTAACTCCTCGAAACCAAAACAACAAAGGGATACATAAATCAACTTATTTAATTAACCAACCAAAAAATAGATGAAACTTTCACGATATTATATACTTAAAAACATCTTAATGTTCTGTGACCAAAAAGATTGATCACAGAATTTGCGACTACACATGTAGGAACTAGCTGAACCATTAAAATTATTGTTGTAATAATATTTACATCGTTCAACTAAGTTTGTTTCGGTTTTCGTTCATTTTAAATTTTAACGTGTTAAAAACGACCATATTACTGAAAATATGCAGATAACACAGGGCAAGCGATTCAGAATCTAACAGCTAATTTTATCTCTGTTTTTATTTAATTTATTTTTATTTTATTTTTGTTTTTCACAACTAATAAGAAAATACTGAAACTAGGAAGATGGATTTACTAAGCACAATATAGCGACAATTGTTGATACAAATATTCAAAGTTTATTGTTACATGGTTCATTTAGACAAAGTTTTTGTGCCATATTTTATTTTAACTGATAAATACTCAAAGAAATATTATTTAACGTATGTACTTAGTAATTTTTAAGCACAATTTGAGTTAACATAAAAAGTCAGCTTTACTTGAGGATATATTCTGTATTTTTGTTTCTCATATTAACATTATCGTTTCGGGCACAAAATGATACTATTTGCAAATTAACTATGTAATTAATATTTCCATTTAACTATATTTTATATCGTCTAAATATTTTTATAAACAGTGAGATTATATTTAAATATTACGATTATATTATACAAACGACAGGGAAAATATGACGGCAATGTGCAACCAAGGAAAACAAAATTAGTACTAGCGGGGCTAGAAACTATTGTAAGATTTTGTTTATAACCTAACCTGATGATATGGAATGATACATCAAGAATCATTAACGAACAAACAATTAATTCTAAGCTATAACCTAACAATTGTAATAACGTTGTTAAAGTTTTTCGATATTTTCTGTTTGTTGTTGACCTTAGCTGTTTGTTACACTTGCAATGTTTTACATGGGTTGGCACAGCGCGACATGTTTTTGTCCTATACGACAATAGATGGCATAGCTTAACAATTTTTCCAAAAGCGCAGGCGGAACTAAAGAGACCCGAAATCTAATTTCCATCCACCGATAAATTAAAGACATCTTTGAAGAACAAAACATACGAGACAATGGCCGTCAATTAAGATTAAAGCTAAAGAGCACCGAATCGATTTCTACAATGCTGGTTGACGATGCAAGTTGGTTTCTTCTTACGTCAAACTACAAACTAAAATGATTATTAAATAACGACTACGATTAGCAATCTAGTTACCTTTGTATTTCATACTTGAATTTATTTTTCATTTATATTTTCAATTAACTTTATAAACGAGACGTGCGGTCATCAATTCCTTAATTTCAATATCCTCAGTGTTACTCATTTGTTCTTTGAATTCACCTTTTATCAGATGCAATTAGTCATTTTTGAGATGAGATAATAAAGAAAATTATCGATGAAATGGTATTCACTTTAACCTGGAAATTCCTGGTATTTAAATGAATTTAGCGAGGAATGTGAGTATTTCTATGTAAATTTTATGTTTGTTGAAATTGTATCATTTTATTTCTGCAGGAAATTTATCAAATGTAAATGAATATAAAATTTTATCTTGATTTAACTACAAATGGTATGTATTATCTGCTTCATTTGTTTGTCGTTGCCATGGGGATATGCTTAAAATATGATTGTGTTTTATGACTTTCTTTTCTTCCATTTCTCTTTGCGTTACTATATATTAACTTGTTATAAATGTAATATTTACTTCAAAAATCTTTATCAGTCAGGTCTAGTTTCCCTCCTGCGTACGCAAAAAAAAACCAGCACGTTGCCATGTCGACCGCAGAATCCCCGAGCGCTGCTACGCGCGTTGCGCAGCGGCGGCGAGAATCGCGCCGCGCGCCGGTTCTATGCGCCAGTCAGTAGTCTAATCTATGGCCAGTTGTTCGCGATTTCCCGGTGTGGGCGCATCGTGCATGTATATCTTCCACTGGAGCACCGTATGTGCGGCAACGGTTGCTTTAATATGATTCTCGATCAAGGAAACTTCAGTCAACATGCTATCGGAATTGGCATGGTAAACGAGCTTTGAATAGCGAACAAATTCAAGTGAGACGAATAAGCACATCCAACAATATTAGCTACATCAGAAACAAACGCAAACGAAGACTATTTAAGACAGTTTCAATAGGATAAAGCAGCGTATTTTTGACAAAGTGATACAGAGGTAGCATGAAAGTGCAGCAATGTTCACTAGTGCACATAAAGGAACTTAGAATGTTTGAATGTAAATTCTTCAGTGCAATGGCATGTCGGAGGTATGTGTATTTACTTATTTATTGTGTGTTTACTATTGATTTTATGTAATTTTTGAAACAAATTTGCCTGGTTATATGCATTCGTGTTGTGTTTTCTACAATTCGTTGGCGATTTTGTTATTGGTTACTTGTTACTCTGTATTCGTGCTAATAGGCGCCCAAACGGGTTGGCGTGTAACATGATTCCGTGATTAGCGTTAATAATAATCAAAGCGGCACGATGCCATGTTTCTCCACGCTCGCCTACACTCCATCAACCCCTGCGCGCTGGGTGAAGGTGAAGAGCGAAACGAGCCACTAGACTCACGATCCAGGCCGCCCCAAGTGCCCTTTAAGCACCCAACACCAATCTGCTCCGACACAAACTCTATCCATCAGTACAAACACGCACACACACTTTTGCAGCATCGCTTATTATTAATTTTTTTTAGTATTCTGTGCATTTTTACACTTACACATACTAGTCAAATTAATTAAGTTTAAGCAAGCGTACACAAAAGTAATGAAAGTCGTAACATTGATAAGCGGTATGTGCGCGTGAGAGTTGGGGATGAAGATTGATAGATGAAGGCGATTTCACAAGTGCGACATCACAAAGGGACCCTGTGTCACGCATAATGGTTGGTATGTCGTATGTGTTAGTGTAATATAGTGAAGCTAAATGAAAATAACCACCTGCACGCAGATGTGGAAAGCTCAACGCTAATGAAAACCGTAACATTCGTGCAACGAACACGTTGACTAACATATAAGCAAAATTGAATTGTACAACAATTAAATCGTCTACTTTGCGCTCACGTTAAAAAAATATTTTTTTCTACTTCCACTTTCTCGTTTCGTTTTTTTACGGTTTTGATACCTACACATAAAGTGGTGCTTTAAACATGGACGGTCAAAGCCATGACTAAAGTACTTTTGTCACGGGGTGGAGCTTGCGCCTGCGCCTTTACCTCTGCGGCACCATTATGTGCTGATCGTGCCGGCACGGCGCATCGCATTTACGTGCGCGAACTCAAAGTACTCCAATGCATTTATAATCTTACATTTCCCAGTAGTGTGCAAGCGAAATTGGAAGTTTTGCAATACAAAATTCAACTACAAAAACAAATCGAGTGGAAGTAGAAAAAAATAGCGTAAGAATCACGCCGCTAAACTTGGTGAATAAAAGCGTTTTTAGCCCACTTGATACTTAATTTACCATTTGTTTACAGTGGAAAACACTCAGTGAAATTTGGGGTAGCAAAATAATTGGATAAGTTTGAGGACTCTTGAATTCATCGCTGCAAAACGTAAATTTAATGTAACCCTTCTGCGGCTTGTGAACCACCATTGCGTATATATTACGCATTAATGCGAAACGCTAATAAGTTTTGGTCGCCTCATAATATCTATGTGTGTGCGGCACAGTCAAGTCAATATGAAAAGCGTGAAATTATTCATGTTATTTCGTATACACTGGATGTCACATAGATACCAACATAAAGTTACAATCCGCGTGCAAACAGTTGATAACAATAATAGTAATGGCAGACAATGCTAATAATCGAGGCACAATTAATTAGGTAATTTAGTTCTCTAATTGCACCGACGCGCGAGTTTCAGTCGGTACTATCTGGGTACGGCGCGTTTCAACCGAATTAAGTATATCGCCGTGCGTGCCATAACTAGGTCCTCTGTACTTTCGACTATCTGCTAAAAGTGTGCACATGACATGAAACTGTAAAAGTTTTTTTTACTGCAACAATAATAGGTAGAAATGAAAATATTTTTCGTCGTTCCATAGAGCAGATGTAACACTAGAACGGAGAAATTAATATAAAGCTTTAAATTATTATGTAATACCTATATAGAAATTAGGGTAGTGTCTGATACAGATACAGGTACCTATATCTAGAAAGGCCTAAGTTTGTTAAAATCCAGATTAGGACATGGTGCCAGAATGCTTAAGTTTCATACAGATATTAAGTAAATATCTGTAACACGCGGTTTTACGCATAATGAAAATAAAATATAATAGAACTAATAGAGACAGAAGTTTCGACATCTCTGCGCAGAAATACAAATAATGCACTTTTATTAATTTAAATCTTTAGTAAGGTAAAAACATGTGCGGGTGAATGCGAATATAGAATGGCAAATATATGCTTAATGTTCTTTTACCGATGAGAAATGTAGGGACTTTGAATCCACATTCACCATATATATTATGTGTTTTATTTATTGCCTTACTTTCAGTTACATTATGACAAAAGGCGTGGGCGAGTTCGCAAGTCAATTCATGAAAAAATTTCTCCATCGTACTCTTAAAAAAATAACCGGGTTACAGGTACACGATGAATGCAAAATCTCCTCAATTATGTCATAATTAAATTGCGGAAACGCTCAGAAATGTTATCAAAACATCGTCAGCAAGTTCGTCATAAGCTCGGTAATTAACTCTGTAATATTTTACCTCTAGATTGCCTTGTTCTGCGCGGAACATATTCCCACACCGATGTATTATTAAATATTTAATATAAACTCCTGAATACGTGAATACGTCTTCGTCGCCTAATGTAGAAATTTTGTATCAAATAATTGGATATCAATTTTCAGCGGGCAATTACGGAAACTTACGCAATAACTCATTATTAGCGTTGAGATGCCACGCAATGTATTTATAATAAATATGCGAGAAAGGTTGGCTTCGCCATAACCCTGATTTTCAATTGACAATATTGTGTCCAAATTGTGAAATTTGTTATTATTTTTATTGGAAACTTTAGTTCATCCTGATTTGATTTTAATTAAAAAAGAAAACGTTGCGTACTTTTCCTCACAATTAAAAATCTATAAATAAGTGTGAAAAGACTACTTTGGACAATGTCATACCAAATACCACACTTTTTCGGCAGTCCACCGATAACATGTCATGCATTCAAATTTTAAATTTCATGAGAACTGGGCCATGATGATGATGATGATGTAGGTTGTATGACATATTTACTTGATATGTTTCGTTGACATGTTTCCAATATATACCCTTCTGCATACCCGTAACAAGATTTACAGATAGGTGTATAATACATTTGTTATACACCTTGTTTAGTTTGTGCTGCCGGTTGTAGATTGTACACATTCTGTAAAAGTTATACCAACGACACTTAAAAACCATTTGAACAGCTTTGGAATTAGGTGGTGAAGGATAATATTTGACAATATGTTATGTTAAGAGAGTAAAATTTAATTTAAAATATATCAAAGCATTATAAGCATCATATGCATAAGATACCCAGTTTTGTGTTTTTAATATTTTTGACGAATAATTCCATAGTACACTCCTGGCTTAGCCGTAACATGCGGTAGAATTAGTTTTCTAAATGGCAGAGATAATAGATGTGCGCAATTAGGCAGCTAAGGGATGTCTAATAATATTTATACGCACCCGCATGCCGACGAGTGCTGTGCGCGTGTGGGTTGTGGCATAAATATTTTTCGCTATCTATTTTTAGCAGCACGTTCGCGTAAAAAGGGTGGAAGTCCCCTAACGACGCAGAAACGACTTCGACGTCTCCATTATTATTTTTTGGGAATTTCTCTTGGGAATGCAATTTTTGAAGCGTCGTTTTATTCCTTTTTATTTTAATAGTTATATAGAAAATTGGATTTTTTATTAAAACAGTTGAGTTGATTGAGGTGACTGGTAAATTGGGTGACGAGGGTTAGGGCATGAAAAATGGAGAATGAAGGAGAAAGGGATGTGCCGCATTTGCAACCACTCCGCGGATGCGTACTTTTTGCTTGTTATATCATGTGTAGGTATTACTGTAGCAATCTACCCTTATTTTTGTCCAAACTGGCAGTATAAAAATACAAATTAGGCGAAACATGTCAATAATAAATTTATATCGGGATACAACACGGATTTAATATGCAAATAAATATTATATGTGATTATTTAAAGAAAATACAAACTAAATACCCTTTTTATAAATATTTTCGTATCCTTACAATTTGTATAAAATTTGTTCCAGTTTTTTTTTTTAACTTTGTAAGTGTATTGAAAATAAAAACTTGCCAAGTAATTTGCATCTTGCCTCATTCAAGTATTTTTAATTAAGCTGAAGTTACTTACAATTCAAACATGTTCTGAGTTATAAATTCATAAATGTCAAGTAAGAGGCAGCATCAATTACTCTCCCTTTTCTTCTTTTTTGTAGCGAACTTTTTGTTGAAAAGCCTACAATATGCCGGGAAAAATTTCAAAGTAATTACTAAACATTAACTTGATACTCGTAGATATGAAATACAATATGTGCATATGAAACGATCACTAGCGGTATTCCGAAAATGAGGAAGAGCACGAGTATATAGTTTTATTAGTTTGGAAAATAAGTGACACGCGAGGTGAGATTTCCATGGGAAATTTATGGAAATTTCGTAATATGCAGGTATATTGTAGTTTGTAGTACATTTGTATCAGTTTCGGGCAGTGTGCCCGTGTCTTTGTGGTTGCGGGAGTGCGGCCACCCGGCGCAGATTTGTTGTTGGCATGATGTGCGTACGAAAATTAACGATGCGTCAAATCGTTAGCGGCAGCGTCGAGACGACAGGAAAGTTCGTTTACCACACGTGAAATAGACGTAGTTGACGACGGGAAATTACTCTTACATTAAAGATCGTGTGGAAACATGCTTATTGACAGAGATTCGACAGAAGTTTTATATTTTGTAGGGCTTACTTATATTTAATAACATTTTTTATAGTTTAAGTTTTCAATAAATGTACATGCTTTGCGCGTTGCCGACTTTTTCCACCAATTGCACCAATTGAGAATGAAATTGCTAGTGTTAAAGAAGCGCCATCCGACTAGTAAAAGTTCTAATGTAGGCGCACTTGAGTGCAGTAAACTAGACGTATTTTAAGACGTATTTTACGATGTGTACTATTAAATTTGTACGTAGTTTCAATGTCGACCACAGAGGCGTTCTAGGAAAACCTACGGCGGTTTACTGTCGACG